CCTAGGGCGACCACATCAGCATGGCAGGCCAGGCATTCCAGGCAGAGGGGTTCGCCTTCCTTTCAAGCGTTACGTATTGGGAAGCAGGACTAATGGCCCTTCACTCTTATGCCACAGCCCCACTGTGCAAGGGGGGCAGGATGGAAGCCCCACAAAAGCAGCAGCCAGTGACGGGTGAGGGAGCTTTGCTCTCCTAGAAAGGCGCCCATTGCGATTCAAGATGAGGCCAGGTTAGGGAAGAAGAGAGGCCAAAAGCCATGTGGCGTCTCAGTATAAATTGTGACACGGCCACATGGTGAGTGACAGCCCCCCTCCGCTCAGCTGCACCCGGCTCCCAAATGACATTCATGTCTTGTTAGCACCACAGCTCGGTGGCTCCATGCAATATCTGTGCCTGCGCTTTCTACAGAGCAGGAGCACACAAAAGACTAGTCAAGGCAGTTCAGTGCTCAAAGGTATGTTACTAAGAGCCAGCAGAGCCGACAGCCTCTGTGGGTCCCTGAGCAAGTGGGGGAGGCAGCTCCGCACTCCTGGAAGGGGCAGGGCCATGGGCAGCCCGGCCTTATTGCTGCCTGAAGCGCGGCACAGCCCCCACCGGTGTTCCCTCTAAGGTGAGCACTTGGGCGACTGCCCAAGAGAAATTCAGGTGCTGCCCAGCTGATTAGCAGAGAGCTCATGGCTGGCAGCATGTGTTTCCATGGGTGGTGCACATATGCATATGCCTTGGTACACATAACAAATTTTATTCTGCACATGTGTGAACAAAATTCGAGGGAACATTGGCCCCCACTTCCCACATCCTTAGCGCTGTCAGAGTGCCACACCCTGAGCCCCTTTGAATTCCCAGGCTCTGGAGCAACTGTCCTTTCCCCCCTTCCCAACTCCTCAGCAGATCTGCTAAAAGCTAGCACATATCTACTGTCCTATGAACTTCTCCTAAGTAAGTCTCAGAGGCTGCAGTGTTCCCTGTGAGTTGTATGTTTGTGCAGACACTCAGGAGAGATTCCCGTGCTGCCCAGCTGATTAGCAGAGCGCCCACAACTAGGTTTTGTGTTTCTACTGGTGGTGCACATTTTCACATGCTTTGGTGCGCATAAAAAATATATTCCGCACACAGATGGAAAAAAAATCTGCACGTGGATGTAAAGAATTAGCAGGAACATGACTTAGAGGGAACACTGGTCAGAGCACATTTCTGAAGCATTAATCCTGGGAAGGATGAGCAAGACGGAGAAAAGCTACCTGACTCTCCCCAAACAACAGAGGGCATAAGGAAGAGAGCTGGGATTAGCACGCCACAGTCCTAAAATCCCGGCTGTACACTCAGGCATAAGGCTGTGTCTCATTTCCACTCAGTGTGTAAGATGGAGGCTGCTCTGTAAAGTCCCCCCTGAGGTTCCTCTCTCTGGGTTTGTACATACTGAAGCGGGGTCCCCTAGTCCTTTCAGGAAAGATGTGGACAAATTAGAAAAAGTCCAGAGAAGAGCAACAAAAACGATTAAAGGTCTGAAAAAACATGAGATATGAAGGAAGACTGAATGAATTGGGTTTGTTTAGTCTGGAAAAGAAAAGATTGAAAGGGGACATTATAGCAATTTTCCAGTATCTAAAAGATTGTTACCAGGAGGAGGGAGAAAAAATACTCTCCTTAACCTCTGAGGATAGAACAAGAAGCACTGGGCTTAAATTGCAACAAGGGAGGTTTAGGTTGGACATTAGGAAAAAGTTCCTAACTGTCAGGGTAGTTAAACACTGGAATAAATTGCCCAGGGGGTCTGTGGAATGTCCATCACTGGAGATATTTAAGAGCAGGCTGGACAAACACCTGTCTGGGATTATCTAGATGGAGCTTGGTCCTGCCAGGAATGCAGGGGACTGGACTTGATGACCTCTCAAAGTTCCTCCCAGTTCTTTGACTGGGAGTAGAAGGAAGACCCCATCAGGGAGCTGAAATGAACAAGGGCCTGGAAAATGGTTTGGTAGTGGAAAAGAGGAAGCAGTTCTGGAGAATGAGGAGTTGGATGGGAAGGAAACCTAGACATACTGTTCCTTTAAGGGCTTGGGACCAGCAACCATAATAAAAGGTGGGGCTGGACTCCTGTCCTTCCAGCCAATTAGAAGGTGCTCACTGGAGGAGGGCAGTATATAGTTTTCCTTCTCCAGCAGCACAGGGGAGCTGTTGGAAAAGAGAAAACAACTAGAGTGATAGGGGCCAAGTCTGAGACAGACGGACAGACAGACAGCTAGCTAGCTATGACTCTGAGAAGCACAGGCTGTGGCAGAGAAGACCTCAGTGTAAAGCCAGAGCTGAGTGCGATCCTTTGGTTTTCTGTGTTGGACTTTACTGGTGGGTATGTTTTGTGGTGTTTGTGGTCACTACACTGGCCCCAGACATGGCTGTTGGACTACTAAGAAAGGCTGTAGAAGGATCTGTAAGCGGTCCTGGAGATGGAGGCTGCTGAAAAGGGGAATTCTGGCCATGAGGGGCTACTTGCTAATCAGCAACCCTGTCAAATACCCCATCTGAGAGTTAGGCACTAAATCTCCAGTTCACCTATGCAAACTCACTAATCTCAATGGATTAGAACGTTTCCTCAGCTCCCATCCCCTTTCACCCCTTCTCTACTTACGCTACATCGATGACATCTTTATGATCTGGACTCATGGCCAAGAAACACTGGAGACATTCCACAGAGATTTTAACAACCTACACCCCACCATCAATCTCAGCTTGGACCATTCTACACGAGAGATCCATTTCCTGGACACCACAGTACAAATCATCAATGGAAAATTAGACACCACTCTCTACAGAAAACCCACCAACTCATACAGTTACCTGCATGCCTCCAGCTCCCATCCAGAACACCCCATACGATCCATCGTCTATAGCCAAGCCCTTCGATACAACCACATCTGCTCTAATCCCACTGACAGAGACCAGAAACTTCAAGATCTCTACCAAGCATTTATAAACCTCAACTACCCACCCGGAGAAATAAAAAAACAAATTGAAAGAGCCAGAAAAATCCCTAGAAACCGTCTACTTCAAGACAGACCAAAGAAAACCAACAATAGAACACCACTTGTCATCACCTACAACCCCCAACTTAAACCTGTCCAACACATTATCAATAAACTACAACCTATACTGGGACAGGATACTAAATTCCAAAAGGCTCTGGGAGACAGACCCACAGTCTCCTATATACAACCACCTAACCTCAAGATGATTCTTACCAACAACCCCAGGACATACCACACTAATACCAACCCTGGTACCTTCCCTTGCAACAAACCCTGTTGCCGGCTTTGTCCACATATTCACTCTGCTGATACCATTATTGGACCTAACCAATTGAGTTATAAGATCAAGAACACATATTCCTGCGCATCCAGAAATATAATCTATGCTATCATGTGCCGAAAGTGTCCGTCTGCTATGTACGTTGGACAAACGTCTCAGACACTTCACCAAAGAATCAATGCCCACAAAACAGATATTAGACAGGATCACAAAGAAAAAACAGTTTCTTGCCATTTCAACCAGAAAGGGCATTGTCTCAATGACTTGATTACCTGCATCCTGCTTCAAAGACCTTTTCACACCAGACTTGAAAGAGAATCCTCTGAACTGTCACTCATGCTTAAATTCGACACTTTACACCTCGGTCTAAAAAAGGCATTAATTATCTTACCCATTACAAAGATAGCT